TTTATCGTGCACTTTCAGCTTTACAACTTTGCAGATCGTTTACATTCACATACAGCTACATTACACACTGCATGAAAGGCAATATTGGAAATGGCATAATAGGGGCACTTTAACGTCAAATGTCATGATCACATTATCATATATATCATCCCTCAATTACATAAAGTTCTGTTCGAACCAGAGGTGTAAAGAGTACCTAAAAGCCATACTTGAGTAAAAGTACAGATATCTTACAGTGAAAATTACTCCAAAACAACTTTAAAAAGTCTTAGAGTATCTGATTTTAACAGTACTTAAGTATTTTACTTATACTAAATATAGGCTCAAAGATGCACTAGTCAAAAAGAGACATGCCACTGAAAAACTGAATTGTTGTGGAGAAGCTGCAGAAAACAGGCAGAGGCAAGGATCAAAGAGTTGATTTGTGAGGAGAGCAATCACGTTTATTTTCTAAAACCAAAATAAAACTGAACACCTCAAAATTACAAACCAAACAATATCTTTCAAAAAGTTATCTTCAGTATAATGGATAAATAAAATAATGTTAAGTACAATTAAAAAGCCGAAGTCTTCTTGCACTGGCTGTGCTGGTTTCGGGCCTCATTGCCGGCTGCAGTCATGTCCTCATCTCATATATAAAACACCTCTGATTCACAAATACTTACTAAGGAACTCGCATTCACATAAAGTAGCCTTGTTGACAAGTTTGGGTGAGTAAGGGCAAAACGCACAAGATGCAGTACTTTCAGTGACCTGTAATAGGCAATATCACATCTTTTGTAGCAGAAATAAACTGCTGCAGAAAAAGCTAGGTCCATGCAAAATGTAATGTGTAACTGCAACACTCATTTCAAATGTAGTGGAGCAAAGAGTACAGATACTCATTCAAAAATGTAGTGAAGTTAAAAGTTGCTAATATCTTTGATACTCAGTACAACTACAAAGTACCCGAAAAGATACTCAAGTACAGTAACTAATTACATTTACTCCAATACTTTACACCTCTGGTTCGAACACAGGTTGTTAAAGATTTTTCTTTGTACCGAGATCAACTTTGTGACAGCCTGTATTTTCAGCATGTCAAATTCCTTTGTCTCCACAGGCACTCTTTATGTCATATGCTTAATTTCTCTATTTTGTAACAAGAGAAGTTTTGTTCAAAAGGTTGCAGTAAAGCTGAACTGAGCATGAGAGGAACTCACAGATTTAAAGCATCAGTGTTTGAAATCCATCACAAAACACTCCAGAGAGAATGGAAAAAAAGAATGCAGTGTTTCCAGAATCAGAGGCACTTTGACTGCTGACACAGTAACACATGCTGCCGAGTTGGCAAAGCATAGTATAACCAGCACAAGCCTTTTGATAAAGCCTGTCCAGGTCTAAAAAATAAACTTGTCATTAAATCCTTAGAAGATTTTTATTCTAAAAGCTAGTATGACGTTTTATGTGCTTGAAAGATTCATCTTTGACCTACTGTTGTTCACATGTTGCAGTGTCTATTACAGTCATGAAACTGTATTTCAATTCAGGAAATTACTTCGCTGGTCACCACTGGAATTTCAGTTATATGGAAACTGAGGTTAAAGGTCCCTATGATGATGTCAGAGATAAGACTTTTCATGTTCTCTCCGGACATAGAATGTGTCTAAATAGAATGTAAAGCAGGCTTAACATTCTATACAACATTCTAAAGAAAGCCTTTTAGATTTGAACTGAGGTGTCAAAGACAGTGATAGAATGATAGATATATAGGTAGACAGATGATAGATAGATAGATGAAAACAGGTCAAAACACAACCAAAGGAACCCAATCAGTAAATAAACTGACATTTTAATATTTTAACAGAAAATTACCAAACATTAAATTACGTTGTAAATGATGTTAATAATAAGTATTACAATCTGTATAACATATATTTTTTCCATTTCAACATGTAGAAATGCTAAATCAGTGTAAAATAAAATACAGCAGAACTATTATGTGAACAACTGCATTTTTGTGAGCACAAACTAGAACTAATTGCAACTAAGACAAACTTTACAAAATTTAACACTGTCAGAAGTATTTTCTTGTTTGTACTTCATTAAGAAAAAAAAAATCCACTATATTACACTCAAAAAATATATTCAGTATAAGCTAAAACATCCAAAGAACACTTAGTAACATCGTTTTACCAAATGTCACAAAACTGAAAGTACATTAGTATAATAAAACAAGTTTGCAGTATATAAGAAACATATTTGGCTCATAAAGTCAGTTCATTCAAGACGTATATTGTTTAAATTGGGAAGAAAAATGTTAAGGACATGAAAAGATTCTTATTAAAAACATTCACTACTAAGAGGTACCAATTTTCTATATAACCTTTTGAAATTGAATGGAATAACAATGAGTGTTAACTCATTTTGAAACAGATTTAGCAATTACTGAAATGAAAGATGACCTGCATCTACCAAACATGATTCACCTTTTGGCATCACTGAAAAGAAACATATGTTCAAGAATTTCACAAATGTCACATTGGGCAATACATTATCTTCTGCTACTTAATATAGTCGCTAATTAATGCTCCCTCTAATAAAAATCCATAGATTCCTTCAGAGCCGTACCGCAACACTGCTCAGAGTGTTATGAGCTTATGTCTACACATTTGAAATATCAGAGCCCATTAGCATTGTGGGCCACATATAAATACAGAAATGTGTTAATATAGTCAACTGCATGTACCTAGATGGAAATAAAATCTACAATACATTTAAGACAAAGGTGATATTTACAGCCTGAATAAACTTTATCATACGCAACAGTTAATGACCCGGTTATAGTGTTACACAAAAACTATTTACATACAGTAAGGCATATAATGATCCCTTTTTTGCAGAAATGAATACCATGGATACCATGGACTTTGCTTTTGCCTGTTCTGGTGCCATTAGAGGAATGCCACATAATTCTCTGGGATGAGTCCGGTTTTGCCATCATGTGTCGCTTGAAGCCAGCCAGGTTCCACTGAAGGATACACTGCATGGGCATGAAGAGTCAAATACAGCAGAACTGAGTACACAACATTCTACAGAGCCTTTTATGTTTTGTTTTTCCACAAAAAAGTACAGTACTGCTCAAACATTATCCTTAGAAACATTACAGAGACAGTGTGGTTACCGTTGGAGAAGTGCGCCCCCTGTGGGAAGCTCAGCTCATGACTGTGCTCCGCTTTACAGGAATACAAGGCTTTAGCCTCTCTGTAAAACAAACACCAGAGTTAGAGACAAGACAACTGCGAAAACTTACTAATATCACTGGCAACATCAACAACACGCTTATCTTTTGGCCCTGTTGGCTGTTCTTAGTACAGGAAATAGAAATTCAGTCATATTACACAACATTTGACAATTGTCTGTCAAATTTCTACACAAATTTACTCGATTATGTTTTCAGCGACCAACTCTCTGCCTTTTTATATCAAATTTGATCACATTTTTTTGTGATTAATATATTATCATTTGGAAAGAAGGGTAGGAAAATGCACAAAATAACCACCAACACCTGAACTATACAGAACAAACGTTTGGGGTGAGAACTTTTGCTAAACAAAATTGTATTCATTTTATTTCATTAAATATAAAGTGTCAAAAACTTTTATAAGTTTACAAAACATGTCTATTTCAAATAAATGCTGTTCTTTTGAACTTTCTATTCAAAGAATCCTAAAAAACTACTTAAAAATATTTCAAAAGAAAACTTATTCTAAACTGCAATAATACTTGCCAATATTAACAATTTTTGATCAAAAACATTTTTAAAATCTTATCGACCCCAAACTTTTGAACAGTGGCATAGAACAGACCTTAGAAATAAGATATAATAGAGCATAAATTGACATCTGATCACAACTGTATTGTCTTTCTCAGCTAGACACTGTAAAAAAAAACAAAAAGGAAGATTCAATTTAGGCCTGGAAATATGTAAGAAGAATTACTAAAACTTAGTAATACTCTTAAGTCTGACTCATTACCTTCCCGTTGTGGGCTGGGAAATCACAGGACTCTCAAAGATTGCTGCCCGCGAGGCCACACTGGCGGAAGAAAAAGCATGGCACAGTTGATACATCAATTGAGATCAGTGTAACAAACTGATTTTACATTATAACAGAAGATCAGTGAGAAGGTTCTTGCTTACACAGATCCCGGTCTCTGGTAGCCATTGCTGGCTGAGGAGTCAGCTCTGTATCTCACCGTCTCTTTAGGAGGAAGCTCCGGCAGATGGAGGGACTTGAGACTGTCTCTCTGACTGCGTGACACCAGGCTCTGAATAGAGCCGTGACAGCTTCTGAAACCTGAGCGTAACCAAAAAAAAAAAAAAAACACATTACAAATTGTCAGAAATACTTTATTCGTACTTGAGAAGAAACTAAGTGCAAAACTGCAGGAAGAATGAGATCCGCTGATGCCGTTGTTTATCTGCACACGCGGTTTGTGTGGTTCTAGTCTGTAACGACTTGCTTATGTTCCTCTATTGTACATCGTTTTGGATAAAATGCATCTGGTAAATGCATAGCTGTAAATGTAAATGTTTAGTCCGTGGATTGAGGATGGTTAGTGGATAAAATGCAGGATTTTGTGCTGTGTTTTGAGGCCATGAAACACCAAACCGACATAAAAGAACTAGAGCCGATAAAAGCCAACTGGGTTGTCGCATCACGTTGCATGCATCTGGTCTAAAAAGCTGCAAAGACTACAGCCAATGGCCAACAAGCATGTAAGTTATGCGCTTGCATGAGAAAAAAAAACAACTATCTACACCAGCAGGTGGAAGCAGTAGTCTATACTCGTCATTCAAAAAGGGAAACTAGGATTGTAGATTTACAAACCATAGAACAAAATAGTGCTTGCTTTTCGTCTTGTGCAATAGTTTGCTAAACTGAACAACCAATCAGAGTGATCTATCTCACCAATTCCCGACCTAGTGTGTGAATTCACCCCACAAAAATGAAGCGAAACGTATTCGTTCTTACCCTCAGAAATGTGGAGTGAAGTGAGAGAAGAGCAGGTGGACAGACTGTGTCGTGCTTTCCCATGATCCTCCAGAGTCTCTCCTAGGGTTCTCTGAAGGAGCTCTGAAGCCGGAGAGCTTCGATCATCACCTGGACTTGTGCTCAGCGCTTCTTCCCATTCTCCATCAGTCTTGTTGGCGTCCTCTTTGGAGCTGGAATCAGGGCTGGTGGTGCAAGCGGGGCTTTTGGGCCCGTTGGAGGAGGGAGATGGAGTGGCCCAGCACAGGTTCCTTGATGCCTTGTGTTTGGTACGTGATGTGGAGCCCGTCTTAGAGCAGCTGTTCTGCTCTGAAGAGTGAGACGAGAGAGACTCCATACTGCCCATGGGAGTGCTACTCGGACTGCTGCTGAACGTGTCACCTGATGGAGAGAAGGGGTTAGGCTGACACTCTGATAGAGGGACTACTGTCTGTTTTTGGAGACACTCACTGTCAGCATCAGCCAGGCACAGGGTGGGAGGGTACAGGCCTCTGGATTTGCGGGACCCTGAGGACAGGCAGATGGCTTTGCTGCGGTGGCCACTGGCACGAGACTGAGAGTGAGACTGAGGCTGTGGCAGAGGGACGTTAGGGTCTGGAGCTTGATGAAATATCTAAGAAAAAAAGACAAAATGGTACTAAGAGTGTTTGTGATCCAAACAAAAAACATCTACATTAGATGAGCAAAACTATATAAAGACAGATATTTGGAGTTGCAGAATATACAATATCATTTAAGTTTTTTTGTTTTGTTTTTGAAAGAAAAACAGGAAAAACAGTAATACTGTGAAATATTATTACAATTTAAAATAACTATTTTCTATTTTAATATATTTTAAAATTGTATTTATTTCTATCATGGCAAAGTGGCATTTTCAGTGCCATTACTCCAGTCTTCAGTGTCACATGATCCTTTATTATGCTGATTTGCTGCTCAAGAAATATTTGTTATTATTATCAAGGTTGAAAACAGTTGTGCTGTTTAATATTTTTGCAGAAATCGCACACCCAGGTTAGACACGGTCATCAGATTCTTCTGACTATGTGTGGAAACCCTGTCAAAAACAGCAGAAAAACCATTTCACAAACATCCTGGTTAGCATCACCATGTGGAATTTAAAGTGCGCTCATAGACAAATGTACTAGACGTGCAGTTTCTACTTGAGGAATCAGTGACGTACACATGTAGATGTTTTATCAGAATATCCAGCATGTCTTTATTCTTGTCGGGGAGCTTGTGGACGAGGGCATGAACAGCACAGACCCTGTAGTTCTGATCATCAGACTCTAGAGAAAAAAAACAACAACCCAAAGGCATCCAATTAATAAGCAAGTAAGTCACATACGGACGTGATGAGGAGTTAAAAGAGCAAAGTACATGCTAGAACTCACTGACTGCCATGATGAAATCTTTGTGGAGTCTGTAAGTCATGAGGGGTTCTGCCAGACACCTGAAGGGAACAGAACGACTTCCTGTTTTTCCTTGATAACATGCCATTTTTAGAAATGAAAGATTGTAGGGATTATTTATAAACCTGAGGTAATTCTTCAGGCCGCTGGTGATGGTCTTGTTATCCCAAGTGTCTGGGTCAAGGTCCATATCTGCAGGAGCTTTGGCCGCTGGAAGGGTCAAATGAGCTTAGTGTTAAATGGATTTTGGCTTCAAACACACATCTGGTAAAAGTTACTGTAAATAGTGTGTACTTCCAACAGACAAACTATTTTTCTAAAGTCTTCATGTATATGAATTTATCAGGTTTCTGTATTACTTTACCAAACACTGAGGTCATCAGTCGCTGGACTTTAGAGTTAACTCCACCTATCCTGTACAGCCCCATTGTGTTGATGCCTAAAGGAAAAACACCATTTTTATATACCTAAATCAATTTACAGCAATAAAAATGCTATTTTTGTTCAGACCTACACCACCATTCAGAAGTTTGAGGTCAGTAAGATTTTTTTTTTTTTAAATCTCTAATGCTCAATAAGGCTGCATTTATTTGATCAAAATACAGTAAAAACATAAATATTGTGAAAAACCTAAAATATTAATATAACATATTAATATGTTAAAATGCAATTTATTCCTGCGATGGCAAAGTTTTAACAGCTATTACTTCAGTGACTGAAACAATGTTTTTAAAAATAGCATTTATTTGAAATATAATTATTTTTGTAATGTTGTAAAAGGCTTTATTGTCATTTTTAATCAATTTAATTTGACCTTGCAGAATAAAATATATATTTTTTTTTAAATGATCTTTTTGACCCTAAACTTGTAATAAACTTGTAACTTGGTAATGTAACACATGCACATAAATGTACATGATACATAATATGTCATATACTGCATGAAAAAAGGTAAGTCAGAAGCAGAGACTTACCTCTTGTTTCCACAAGCTCTATACACTTCCTTACAAAATTAAAGCCTGCTTCATTTAGGAATGCTGTGGACACAGAGTATGTTATAAATATAAGGCCAATTCAGGTGAACTATTTTTGTCTTATGAATTAACACACACATGGCCAAATGAAATGTTCATCTCACTGTATATACACCTAAATGACAATTAAATAAATGGGAGGAACAAACTTACTTTCCTCTTTCTTGCTCAAAAGTGCTGGAAGTGTGTAAATCTAGAAGAAATCAGCATGTGTTTATAACACACTAAAGATAAATGCCATTTAAAGCATATACATTAATGCATTATATTGCATAATCCATATCTCTTTACAGAAAATAAATTATAGGGACGAATATACAAAATACAATTTATAGTTTCACAATATAAACATACATGCACTAATAATCCTTTGTATATAAGAATTCACAAACTCAGCTAAATAATAACAGTGTAATGAGGGTCAAATGAGTTTAAGCCAATCAACTATAACTGACAGCATGAGAGTCAAAACAAAAAGTCATTAGCGAAGTGTAAATTCTCAGCGGTCATCTTTTTCCTGTCCGTGTGTACACTATCCACTGCCTGGATTTCAAAGAGCCTGTGTAACAATAATTACATGTCTAAAATGCAAAAAGGGAGTCAGTGGTCTAAATCCTTATTGGGATTTCAAGAAGTTAAAAAATTATTGTACTGTGAACCGACATATATTAATCAAACCGAGAACAGTCTCATTTAGGCTGGGCGGTTGCTCTTACCGGCTCTTTTCCATCCATGGCCTCCATCCACAGTCTTCTGTTGGATTCAGAGAGAGCCTGAAGGGTGATGATACCATGCCTGTGGGACACACTGATTAATGTTAACTCTCAACTACTAGTGTAAGGTGTCAGAATTTTGCATTTTGTTTTATTTATTTATCTGTTTATAACCAGGATTTTTTTCAAACAAGTTCTAAGCATCATGCCAATGAATAATGAAATGTTTCCAAAGCCTGCAAACCAAATCCATATGCTGCAATGTAGCAAAAACAAATGCAAGCAGTATTATGTAGCAGATTTTCCTTCACTGCAATTCACCAACTCTGCCACAGCACAGGAAATCATATTTTACCTGAGCTGCGAAGTTGCAGACCGAATGAATGAAACAAGTTAAAGGGCCAGAAACCACAGAATGAAACAAACACACACCTTTCTTTTGTGTTATCATCACTAGCTGTACTCAAAACCAGTCATACAGTACTAGTTTGAGTAACCTTGTAACTTGGTAATGTAACACATGCACATAAATGTACATGATACATAATATGTCATATACTGCATGAAAAAAGGTAAGTCAGAAGCAGAGACTTACCTCTTGTTTCCACAAGCTCTATACACTTCCTTACAAAATTAAAGCCTGCTTCATTTAGGAATGCTGTGGACACAGAGTATGTTATAAATATAAGGCCAATTCAGGTGAACTATTTTTGTCTTATGAATTAACACACACATGGCCAAATGAAATGTTCATCTCACTGTATATACACCTAAATGACAATTAAATAAATGGGAGGAACAAACTTACTTTCCTCTTTCTTGCTCAAAAGTGCTGGAAGTGTGTAAATCTAGAAGAAATCAGCATGTGTTTATAACACACTAAAGATAAATGCCATTTAAAGCATATACATTAATGCATTATATTGCATAATCCATATCTCTTTACAGAAAATAAATTATAGGGACGAATATACAAAATACAATTTATAGTTTCACAATATAAACATACATGCACTAATAATCCTTTGTATATAAGAATTCACAAACTCAGCTAAATAATAACAGTGTAATGAGGGTCAAATGAGTTTAAGCCAATCAACTATAACTGACAGCATGAGAGTCAAAACAAAGAGTCATTAGCGAAGTGTAAATTCTCAGCGGTCATCTTTTTCCTGTCCGTGTGTACACTATCCACTGCCTGGATTTCAAAGAGCCTGTGTAACAATAATTACATGTCTAAAATGCAAAAAGGGAGTCAGTGGTCTAAATCCTTATTGGGATTTCAAGAAGTTAAAAAATTATTGTACTGTGAACCGACATATATTAATCAAACCGAGAACAGTCTCATTTAGGCTGGGCGGTTGCTCTTACCGGCTCTTTTCCATCCATGGCCTCCATCCACAGTCTTCTGTTGGATTCAGAGAGAGCCTGAAGGGTGATGATACCATGCCTGTGGGACACACTGATTAATGTTAACTCTCAACTACTAGTGTAAGGTGTCAGAATTTTGCATTTTGTTTTATTTATTTATCTGTTTATAACCAGGATTTTTTTCAAACAAGTTCTAAGCATCATGCCAATGAATAATGAAATGTTTCCAAAGCCTGCAAACCAAATCCATATGCTGCAATGTAGCAAAAACAAATGCAAGCAGTATTATGTAGCAGATTTTCCTTCACTGCAATTCACCAACTCTGCCACAGCACAGGAAATCATATTTTACCTGAGCTGCGAAGTTGCAGACCGAATGAATGAAACAAGTTAAAGGGCCAGAAACCACAGAATGAAACAAACACACACCTTTCTTTTGTGTTATCATCACTAGCTGTACTCAAAACCAGTCATACAGTACTAGTTTGAGTAACAAACCATGGCTCTTAAGAACTGACTTATTTTTGAGGAATAGTTCACCCAAAAATGAAAATTTGCTGAACATTTACTACCACCTTCAAGCCATCCAAGATGTAGGCGAGTTTGTCCTCTGCAGTGAATGGGTGCCGTCAGAATGAGAGTCCAAACAGCTAATAAAATCACAATAATCCACAAGTAATCCAAAGTCTATACTACATCAATTAACGTCTTGTGAAGTGAAAAGCTGTGTGTGTAAGAAACAAATCCATCATTAAGATGTTTTAACTTTAAACCGTCACTTCTGGCCAAAATATGAGTCCGTACTTCATAATAACACTTCCTTCAGTAGAAAAATCCATCCCCTGTTGTCTTCTCACATCAAAATCCACCAACATATTTGTTTAGAACTGTTTTGGCTTGTGGTCCATCTGTGCATATTTCTCTTCTGATTCAGATGAGATGACTTCACTGGAAAAAGCAAACAACAGTTTGAATTTAAAAGCATCTTGATGGATTTCTTACGAACACGCAGCTTTTTACTTCACAATACGTTAATTGATGGACTGGAGTTGTGTGGATTACTTGTGAATTATTGTAATGTTTTTAATAATTGTTTAAATTCTCTTTCTGACGGCACCCATTCACTGCAGAGGATCAAACAAGTTGGTGAACAAGTGAGGTAATGCACTAACTTATCTACATCTTGGACGGCATCAGGTGAGTACATTTTCAGCAATTTTCAAATAATCAGTCAAAAATACTTTTTCATTAGTTTCAATAACTCAAAAGCTTAAGTGCAGTTATTTAATTAACATATTCACTTATTAAACAACATGTCTGAATTGAAATGAAGTTTAGAAACAAAACAGTACAATGTCACTAAAATGTTTCAGTATGTTTAGAGCACTGTTATATAGCATTAAAACGTAACTTAAATGCTCCACATTCAGGGGAAGGGAGATTGTTTTTATTAAAAGAGATTTTATTATTATTAGAACACACCAGCAGTTTAGGATAAAAGCGCAACATACCGATGGACTTTATAGAAACATTGCAGATAACTGAACAGAAGCCCTTCACAGGGGTTACCTCTTCAGTTATGAGGAGAGAAAAGAAGAAATGGAAGGAAGGAGAGTGTTGAAAATGACAGACTGAAGAAAGAACTAAACACAATATAACTCTCGTCTCCTGCAGCTCTCAAATTTCTCTCGATGTCATGCATGCCATTATGTGAACACACCTTTCTACCACCTCAATGTCAAAGCAGAATCGCTTGTCAATAGAGTCAGTCCTCCGTCTGATGCAGGACTTCAGCTTAAACATCTCAGGAGGACTCATGATCAATCCATTCTAGACAAGACAAAACAAAAGATAATGTGAAAAGGTAATGTGAAATTAAGCTAATAGCATTTAAAGGGGTCATCGGGTGCAAAATTCACTTTTACATGTTGTTTGAACTGAAATGTGTGTTGGCAGTGTGTACACAACCACCCTATAATGATAGAAATCCACCCAGTGTTTTTTTTTAATTTAATCCCCATAAATAAAAAGCTCTTTCTCAAATCAAGCCGTTCACAGATTCTTTGCAGTGTGACGTAGTTCTGCACAGGCCCCTCCCACGATTGTTGACTGACACTAGCATTTTACCTTAGACCCGCCCTGAGTGAGCTGTAAACAGTCCGCCCAGCTTTTTACTTCACAATACGTTAATTGATGGACTGGAGTTGTGTGGATTACTTGTGAATTATTGTAATGTTTTTAATAATTGTTTAAATTCTCTTTCTGACGGCACCCATTCACTGCAGAGGATCAAACAAGTTGGTGAACAAGTGAGGTAATGCACTAACTTATCTACATCTTGGACGGCATCAGGTGAGTACATTTTCAGCAATTTTCAAATAATCAGTCAAAAATACTTTTTCATTAGTTTCAATAACTCAAAAGCTTAAGTGCAGTTATTTAATTAACATATTCACTTATTAAACAACATGTCTGAATTGAAATGAAGTTTAGAAACAAAACAGTACAATGTCACTAAAATGTTTCAGTATGTTTAGAGCACTGTTATATAGCATTAAAACGTAACTTAAATGCTCCACATTCAGGGGAAGGGAGATTGTTTTTATTAAAAGAGATTTTATTATTATTAGAACACACCAGCAGTTTAGGATAAAAGCGCAACATACCGATGGACTTTATAGAAACATTGCAGATAACTGAACAGAAGCCCTTCACAGGGGTTACCTCTTCAGTTATGAGGAGAGAAAAGAAGAAATGGAAGGAAGGAGAGTGTTGAAAATGACAGACTGAAGAAAGAACTAAACACAATATAACTCTCGTCTCCTGCGGCTCTCAAATTTCTCTCGATGTCATGCATGCCATTATGTGAACACACCTTTCTACCACCTCAATGTCAAAGCAGAATCGCTTGTCTATAGAGTCAGTCCTCCGTCTGATGCAGGACTTCAGCTTAAACATCTCAGGAGGACTCATGATCAATCCATTCTAGACAAGACAAAACAAAAGATAATGTGAAAAGGTAATGTGAAATTAAGCTAATAGCATTTAAAGGGGTCATCGGGTGCAAAATTCACTTTTACATGTTGTTTGAACTGAAATGTGTGTTGGCAGTGTGTACACAACCACCCTATAATGATAGAAATCCACCCAGTGTTTTTTTTTAATTTAATCCCCATAAATAAAAAGCTCTTTCTCAAATCAAGCCGTTCACAGATTCTTTGCAGTGTGACGTAGTTCTGCACAGGCCCCTCCCACGATTGTTGACTGACACTAGCATTTTACCTTAGACCCGCCCTGAGTGAGCTGTAAACAGTCCGCCACTGTTTCGATGCTGGAGCAGGTGTAGACAAGAATGACTCCGATTAGCGATTGAGGTGTTTTGTTCCTGGATGTATTAATGGACATAGCAGTCGTAATTTATTCCCGACATCTGAGCCGCTGAAGACGCAGTGGATTACATTTGTTTTTAAAGGGAATGCGCCCCCCGATCTACCTAAATGTGTTTATCTTCGCTGATCCAGTTTCACCTACAGAAGAAGTGAGTATAATTTTTTTTATGAATCCTTGTAAATCGCCTTTCCTAATAATGTGCTAGTTAGCAAGTTCCACAATGAATGCGGATAAAGTTAACAGTCTCAGAGAACTGCTTGTCACCCCACGGAAGAGAGGGGCGGGGCGAGCCGTAGCTCATTAACATTTAAAGGGCATGGCACCGAAACGGGTTGTGAACAGAGCTACCATTGAGAAATTTTAACCAAAGTATGTAATAGACTTTTCATTAAGACCCTAAAGAATTATATCAACTTGTGGAAAATGGGCATCCGATGACCCCTTTAAATGCTGAACATTTAATACCTGTTTGCCTCCAGACTTGAATTCAGAGTTGCTCATTGTAAACATTTTGGTCCCTTTCTCATACGTGCAATAATGTCGACTCCATGTGCACCCCAAGGGTCCTTCAACAGAAAACAGGTGATCATTAGTGGATTTCAATTGTTGCAGTGAACATGAATTTATATTTATTACACATCTATTTTTTTTTCAAGAAATTAATGACACTGAAGAATGTAGAAATGGCTGCTGAAAGTTCAGCTGTGCCATCACAGGAATAAATTACATTTTAAATATATTGAAACAGAAAGCATTTATTTTAAATTGTGATAATATTTCACAATATTACTGTTCCTATGGCATTTTTAGTCAAATAAATCCAGCCTTGGAGAACAATGTCAAAAACTTTTTTTTTAATCTAAATACATATATTTTCTTAATTTATGAATAAAAAAGCTATATAAAAATATATGATTTTATTATTAGTTGTGACCTGGACATGCTCAGGGGGATACTCACGCTTCTCCTGCACATAGAGGAAGCCCTCCATGGTCCACTGTCCTGGAGCTTTAAAGTCCTGCTCTGCAGACCTTATCCTTCTCATCAAATTCTCCACTTCCTGTCTTGTGCTCTCGAAATTATTTCTTGTCTTTAGAGAGAACATCAAAACAACAGTATATCGGTTCTAGAGGGATATCACTGGACTCCAAAGTACAATTCCTTCCATATGCAGCAATAAATACTGGATATTCTATTATACAGATTGTGTGATTCACGCAATCAACAATTTTATGATACGTTTAGCACTACACAATGGCCTTTATACAAACATAATATTTTTATTGGCTTACTGTCAGACCGATATTTCAGTAGGTAACATTATCTGAAAGCTCTTACATTCTGGAGGTTGAACTGTAGCTGTTGCTTGTATGGCTCAAACTCATGTGCCAGTTCGTAACCCTCGTGGTAGAAGGTGAATAATCCCTGGAGGAAGGCCAGCAGCTGCGAGAAAGACAGTGGTAGTTTGAACAGTTGTATAAAAGCAATAACACTCATAATCATGCAGTATATTCAGAGGTTGATAGAGCTGCAGGATGCGGCTGTTATCATCATTAGGGCATGATAGGCATGTGCTCCAGAGAAACAACACTGCTGATGTTACAAGATGTTATAGATTAAAAAGCAGTATAGCAATTTTCTCTCAGTAAGAGGACGCCTTATTCATATTTCTCATCTCCCCAAACAAAAGTTGCATTCATAGTACTGCAGAAATGGAAATAGGTGTGTCTTACCGGCTCAACAAACTCAAACTTTTTCCTTTCTTGCACTTCTTGGATTTTGAAAACATATTCCAGGGAGGCGTCATAGAAAACCTGTCTTTCCTTATTAATTTGGGTGTCTGCCTATAAAGTATAATCAAAGCATTCAGTGAAGTTAAAAGAAATTCTCCGAAAATAATGTGATATTCTGTGTGTTCCGGATATTTTATATCAATAAATTAACATTCAAGTTACCTCCTGCAAAAGTGACTCTTTCTTTCTCGAAGACAGGCTTAAGTGCTTCTCCAAAACTGTGTAATACTTCTCTGTCTCTTTGTCAAATTTCTTCTTCCCTTCCTTCAAAAAAAAAAGAAAAAAGGTGACATGAGTTGGAATTTCCTGCACTGTAATTATGATGATAAATGCCTTTTGCAGAGATAAGATGTTATATAAAACGTTAGACTTATCAACAAACACCATATAAGAGTCTCATGAAAACAGTAGGAAAGTTTTAATTTGTTTATTTTCATTGGACAGGCCAAAAACTAATCCTGAAATGTTATAACCAGTAGATGGCAGACTCACATTTGACCTTCCAAAAGCTCACATTTAATATTCAGTTGAAAGCCTGGCCTACAGATTTCTGCCAAATTTCAAATGGGCATTTTTTATTATATACATATTCATTAGAAAATAATAAATTATATACATCTTATATATTTTACTAAATATTGTTTATTTTACATATATATTTTATTTCATATATTTAATTTTATTAAATAAAACAAACCAAAATGTAATCGACTAAATAAATATATTATTTCAATAAAATTCTACTTATCCCCATAACCAACATGTTTGTTTTTTTATTTCTTTATTATAACCGAAACCATTTGAAAAATTTCTGTGTAGATTTCTGAAGAGGTTTTTGGATGCAGATTCTGCAGAGCTGTTTAAAATATTTCACCATATTAAATCCATTCCATCAAATTTCACAGATTTACACCCAAAGTCAGACCAAAAAAAAAGTTAATTTTAAAAAAGCAAAATGTGTGGAGAAAAACATACAGTCACCAACTAAAGCACAAAAAACTTATCTGCATCATATATATATTTAACAGAGCAGCCTTTTTAAGTAGAAATTATGCTAAGCTGAACTATGTTATGAGCTGAATTGTGTTAAGCTGAACAACTATTTATTGTGGATGATTTGACAATCTAGTATGATCCAGCAAACACGGGGAACAAGGAACTAAATGAGTAACTCAACAGCTCATCTGAACAGGAGTAGAGTGTCACTTCAGGACATGTGTGGCATACACATACCATCAGCGATGAGTGTAATAGAGCTGATGATTCTGAGTACCCATGTAACCACAGATAAAACAACAAACACAGTGCATATGAGACATCATATGGCTCTAAATGAGGCTGAGTAAAGATGTTTACAGCAGAAAAGCCCCCCACTTCCTGTGCACGCACTGATAGCACCTATTTACGTTGGACCAAGCACTTATATGCTGCAGACCTCCAGCAATGAGAATCTTTTCTTTTTTTTTGAGACTGCAACTGAAACCAGTTTGGAGCTGTTTGTTTTTCCTGTTTGACTTCAGCCCAACCGTTCCCATGACCCTCTAATGGACACGCCGTCTCAACCACAGACTGGATTGCCAAACAACAAACTGAAGGATCTCATTTTTGACATGCTTAGTCCAGCTTCTAGGCCCATCTGCTGGCTAGCAATGACATCACTCTCTTTAGGAATGTATGCTTTCTGTTTAAGGATTTTAAAAAGACATGCATACAGAGTATTTTTTTAAAGAAAATATTATCTGTGCATGAAAGAAACACTTCCAAAAGTATCATAGGAGAGGTAGCCAAACATTATTAAAGTGGATCTGGTAACACTTTACTTAAAGCCTTTATGTATAATGCATTATAAAAGTTGTTTTAATGCATTAATTATGCCTTGTAATGCACCTTATATTGCATTGTACAATCTCACAAATAATTGTAATCACAGTTAATACATTATAACACTAATTAATTCATTGCATTTTGGTGGCACTTTAGTATAGGGACCAATTCTCACTATTAAAGGGTTAGTTCATCCAAAAATGAAAATTAGGCTGTGTTTTACTCACCACGATAAATCGCATGCGATATTTAATGCGCATCTTGTCAGAAAGCCGGTTCTGTAATCAGCAGTAAATCTCCATCATGTGCGGGCTTTCACATGGAGCAGCATTAACTACACAGAGCCGTTGTTCACTGACGAGCTGCGCAAAACCACGAACATATTTTGCGCAGCTTGTCAGTGAACAATGGCTCTGTGTAGTTAATGCTGCTCAATGTGAAAGCCCACACGTGATGGAGATTTACCGCTGATTACAGAATGGCTTTACTGATAAGATGCGCATTAAATATCGCATGCGATTTATCATGCAGCCCTACTTATTAGCATGCATATTACTAGCATATTGCCGAAACAAAACAACGGTCACTAATTAGAAGTACAAAACGAGGATTTGTAAAGAAGAATGTCGGAGGATTTCTATATGAGCCAAGAGGAGACTTGTTTTCCTTTGCTAAAGTAAGGAAACTTTATATCTTTGACCATATTCTACATCCCTAATCCTATCCAATACCTAAACTTAACTACCTTACTAACTATTAATGAGCAGCAAATTAGGAGTTTATAGAGGCAAAAGTCATAGTTCATGGTTTGTTAATAGTGAGAATTGGACCTTAAAATAAAGTGTGACCTGCTTTTTAAATTCAGTTATAATTATTTATGACAAGATATAATGTATTATAACACACAATACAAATAATTATAATGCATTATACCATGTAATAACCCTTTATAATGCATTAGACATAAAAGCTTTAAGTAAAGTGTTACCGTAAACCTTAGATTTATATAGTATATAGACAGACATAAAAAAAAAGAAATAATATGCATGTACACTAGCATTCAAAATTTTGGGGTCAGTTCTGTAAAAAAATAATTAAACTGTTCAAAAGTGTCACAGTAAAGACGTTTATAATGTTAGTTTTCTATGTCAAATAATTTCTGTACTTTTAAACTTTTTTTTTTACACGAATCTTGCCGTGGTTTCCACAAAAATATTAAGCTGCACAACTATTTTCAATGTTATGCTTTATTGCATTTAAATGTTCAGTTATTTTTGTTATAAGACAAAAGTTATTAAACCTGTTATACTGTATTATGACAGCACTTTATAAAAAAACTAAATTGCAACATCGTGATAACACCGTATACCGTGATAAAAGCATTAGCAATTAATCGCAACATGAAAATTTGATACCGGCATATCCCTAATATGTATAAACAGTTATTTTAAAATGTAATATGCCACAATATTACTATATTTTTATCAAAAAAAATACAGCCTTTTACAGCCTTATACAGTATGAGAGACTTCTTTCAAAAATAATAAAAACTAAATATTATTAAGAAATATTAGAATATTTACAATATCTAAATATCTAGCTATCATTCAGCTGTTTGTTCCAATTCTGACATAATATTTATGTACCTTAAGTCAGGAATACATTGTATGTGACAGTGTTTTGTTTGAATATGTGCACAGTACATCTGCGGGAGGTTGAACAGCCGGACTGCCATTCCCTTTGGCCTCTATCATGTCTCAGTGTCTAAGTTGAGCGAGTTCCTTCGCAGCTCTCGCTTAAGAGCATTGGGCCAAAACGCCCAAATAAGGCATCATGAGTTTGGGCTCTGGTTCCTAGAGCTCAACAGGCAGTGCTCCAGCTCTTCTAATATGGCTGGAGGGGTCACATTCACAAATCACCAGGGCTCCCATGCAGCACAACAAGCTAATCTCCTAGAAAGAGTAAAGCTTTAACTAGAGTCTGGTTATAAAGGTGCCCTCTAGCACAGCGCTCACAGGCCATTTCATGTTGGTCAATGTGGCATTACAGTATCTGGCTATAATTTGACTGCGCTTGTCTTCAACAGGTGTTTGCAATTTCCCCCCTTCCTGCAGGATTTCACGTACCTATATTGACCGTATAGGATCCTGTCACAGCGTAGGTAAAAATGACTTTCCGCTGACATGTAGTACATTAACTCACAATGGGGTTTAACAACTTACTTTGGCCTCTCCGATCTGCTCTTTGCGAAACTTCTCCAGCGGTGTGATCAAGACATCATCAGCATTCTGTATCTAAATAAAAGAAAAATCATCAAAAACTTCAAATAGTCAAGTATGACAAATCAACACTAATGAATCATCTATCAAAAACCTTTAACTATATAATAAAACATTACAAAATAATCAATAGTCCTTGAGAGAAATGGTTGCTTTGTACTTAGCCTTGGTATTGTCTAAAATAACCATTCATTCTACCTGTATTCATTAGTATAAGATTTAATATGAATAAAAAAGAAGAGAATTTCAGTAACCTACAAAAAAAAAAAGTTTAAAATTGTTTTATTAAAATACAAAGTCTAGATGGAAAAGGGAAGGAAAGTGATATTGGCAAAAAAAAAAAAAAACTTTTGATATTTTTATTTTAATATTTTAATTAAATGAAGAAAAAATATGAAAAACTTTAAGTACTTCTTAATAAATTTCAAGTATTTCCATCTTAGAAGTTATAACATGATTAAAAACTGCAACATATGCTTAAACCAAAGTGGCAGAAGTATGTAAAATTCACCCATTTTACAGTCTGTAGTGTTAAAAAGCACATTGAACAATGTGGTTCTCTTAATGTGTGAACTCACTGACATCACAGTCCGTTAATAGTTAACAGGCGGCACAGTGCGTGAACGTATCCAAGGAAATTACTTTTATTTACTGTAAAATAACGGCACTATAATTAGTACCATTTTCATGTAGGCACTCCGATTGGAAAAACACACAATTACATACACTAGTTCCTTTTATACACTTTCCCAGGCGCAGCACGGAGGACTTCATGTCTCGCTGGAGAATTGGTCAAAATAAGTTCCACATGCTTGCCTTTGCTCAGCCGGCGGCAGCACTGACCGTCCATCTCTACAGGCTCCATCCACCCACATCAATATTAATGGAATTTGCAATTGCAAATAATAGAAAATGTACAGACTCCAAGTAAGTCCAGATGTATGCTATAGGCTTTGAAAGGATGTAAGTGACAACTTCATTTTTAAGATATGAGTGCATTTCCTGTTCGGCTCATGGTGCACAGCTGAGTCTTTCCCTATAGTGTAAACCAACAGCATATTTAAACTAAATTTCAGTTCGGTTTACCGCTTAAATGTTATACATAAAATGCTGAACTTTCATTTTAAACTTTCAAGCTTGCCTTACACAAACATCCATGACAGGCTTATAAGCAGCAGACAGATGAGCTGCACATGGGACATATAAGAGTGGCCACAATAAAGAAAAGGGGAAATCTTTTAAAAATCAACTTAGAAATGGAATTTTGCATAGTTTTGGAAAATGTTTATACCATTTTCAAACAATAAATAATAAATAAATAAATGTGTCATGTGGTGTAACCTTCAAATAAAAGCAATAACAATTTCCTTACACACTGAAAACGTGATCGTACATATCTTTATTATTTTCAAAAATGTTTTTCAATTATTTTTTTCAAATGTAAAAGTCTTTGTTTGTTTCACAAATATCAAGAATTATATGATTCGATCACATCACATGCTATTTCACAACCTGAACTAACCTTGTGTTGTCATAAACGGGTCAAATGATCTAATATTTTCAGAAATTCATTGACCTTGACACACAGTCATGAGGGTCTGCATGGGTCCCCTATATGATATCATTTCCTGTTTTATGTCTCTACATGTTGGTCGCACAACAAGACTTTAATTTGGCAGACAAAGGTTTTAAAATATTAATAAGCAGGGAAGCATTTCTGTTAAAATATTTAAATACTACTACTTACTGATAATAATAAATTACACCAAACTACTTGTTAATTTCCTTTTTAAGAATTGTATCTTTTTTCCTCTTTTTTTTCATGGCAGTTGCAACACCTGACAATTTATGCCTTCCCAAAATGATCAAAATACGTTTTAATGCAGAACTTTAAAAACATATTCATAATAGCTGAGGTGTATTCAAGTTAACATATGTATGAATTGCATTTTTAATGCATTTCGAAATAAATTATTCAAAAAGCATCACGTCATTGACCCACTTGTTGAACTAAACTGTAGTCAACAATAAGCACTCATATCTCATTAAAGCAAGAGGCCTTTCAGCACTTCTTATACAGCAGAGCACCGAGCACTGAGTGCAGACAGTCGCTCTGTTTGCTCAAGAGTTTCTCCCGTCAAAACTTCCCATGGCCCTTTTTAGCCAGAGAGGAAACTCGCGTCTTACATCAGTCCGATCCATCATGTGGGAAAATGCCTCCCACTTAAAGCAGAGCATGTTGGCAGGCAGTGCGCCTAAGATGAAAGTACCTCTGGATATGAGAGCGTCTACTAATCTGGCAGAACACAATGGCTGAAGTTCAATAAAACACTACTACAGTTGTGTTTACATAATGATTCACCGTTACGTGAGACACAGCCTCTAGACCTGACCGTCTCGGCACCATGCTCCAGTAACACAGAGTACTTCCCATCTGCACCCATGTGGGAGGGCAATGCATTTACTGGGAGTTATTCACCCTTTGGCTCTGTTATTGTACGTCTATGAATGAAAAGGCTCTCGGGGACTTTCTCAGCTTGATGGAGGTGTTTGTCATCCTGAGAGGCCCAGCGCAGGAGCCTGTGAGACTGAAGCGTAACACGGCCACGGTCTGCAGGAAGTAAAGAAACTGTAAGAGGCTGCTGGGTAATTCTTCCCCTGAGGCTCTTCACACAGCTCTGCTGACACACTCTCCTTTCTCCAGTGAACAATGGATGGGACTGAAACTGCAGCTTGGATGCTTGCAGACTGGGGCTGTCCGAGCAAATGCAGCATATTTCATATCCTCTAGGACAAATCAAGTGTTTCCAATTCAAAACAAATAGTTTTTCCTTTGGGTACGGACATATTTTGAATGTAATCCACTTTTAGGGTCATTTCCTTTACAACTCTATTGTAGAGTAAATCAAACAAACTAACACCACAAAACATCACAGAATGTTTGGGTTGTTGTTAGCCAACCAAAAATGTTGATGTCACTGATGTCACTTCCTGGAAGATGATGTCATTAAAGACCAGGGTTTCTTAATTAAAGGTATATTACAAAACTAACTAAATGGAATTGAACAAAGTATATTTGACAACAATGGACAAACCAATAAAACTGATCACCAATTAAAACAATATTAACAAGAAAACATCAGAAAAAAAAACTTTGTTTATAGGCAAAAAAAAAGAGAGAAGAAATCTGGAATATTTCAAAATACCTGCCAGTTCTTTATCGAAAAAGTTATAAAATGACAAAAACAGTAGTGAATTCATTTAAAATTCAGCCGTATATGTTCACTTCATTAAGACGTTGTGAAAAAAGAAAATTATCAATTTTTACGAAATATGATGACATGAATATATAGAGCAG